GAATAGCACTGTGGCTATATACGGCCCTTGCTAGGCCCATCGTCACCTATGCGTCGATTGTATGGTGCCGTAAGGCTCAGCAGGCGGGTGTGCGGGCCAAGCTGGAAAAGCTACAGAGGCTGGCCTGCCTGGGAGTGACCGGGGCGATGCGGACGGCTCCCACCGCTGCATTGGAGGTGATGATCGGATTGCCGCCACTGCACCTCCATATATTGAAGGAAGCTCGGCTGGTGACTTACCGACTTCTCTCTGGCGAGGACGGGGCAGGGCTAAAGTTGGCCCACAGAACTCACAGAGACTTCATTGAGGGCGATCCGAATCTAAGGATAACCATGTCAGATACCTGTCTGCCGCGGTACAACTTCGACCACAAGTACAGGGTTCTGTTTCCTGATCGATGGACGTGGGATCGGGGTGGTCCGGTACTTAGGTCGGGTTCGAGCGTGTGGTATGCGGACGGATCCGAAACGGAGTCGGGTGTGGGCTCGGGCGTATACGGTGTCCGCCCGGACACGCGTGTATATGCAACCCTTGACCCGTATTGCACAGTGTTCCAGGCCGAAATACATGCAATAGAGATCTGTCTGAGAATCAATTTGGAAAGGGGGTATAGAAACCGCACCATCTATGTGTTCTCAGACAGCAGGGCTGCACTGCTGGCGCTCCGTTCAGCTCAGGTTACATCCAAGCTGGTCTGGAGCTGCCTTGCTGCACTTATGGAATTGGCATCGGAAAACAGAGTGATGCTCATTTGGGTGCCGGGCCATAGTGGCCATGCGGGCAACGAAGTTGCCGATGAGTTGGCGCGGAGGGGATCTGGGGCTGCCTTTGTGCAGCCGCTGCCTTTCTGTGGTCTGCCTTCTTCCGCCGTGGGGGCCAGGCTTGCCTGCCTACTCGCGGCGGAATGCAGTCGTCACTGGCGGGACACGAAAGGGTGCCGTCATGCGAAGGTGTTTGTTCCGGCGTGCTCCGGCGGATTCGCTGCGGAGTTGCTGGGGATGAGCAGGAGCCGGGTTCGCACTATTGCGAATTTCTTCACGGGGCACTGCCCGGTGAAATACCACCTGCACAGGCTGGGGAAGTCGGGCTCCCCCCTGTGCAGATTTTGTGGGGGTGGCGATGAGACCGCCGTGCACATTCTCTGCGACTGTCCGGCACTGGCTGTTCGGCGCCGCAATTGTCTTGGACGTGGGTCCCTAAGTGTTCGGGAACTATTGTCCAACTCCCTTAGGGATATCTCCGGCTTTGTGATTGGGACGGGGATATTATAGACGGGAGGGTGGGGTGGCTACAATAAGTCAGAAATGGCTGCGGTGGCTTGGGGGGATGCTCCTGTCCCCACTCAGTTCCCTTAGAATCTACCAATCTATTATACAAGGTCGAAAATTGTTCTCTCAAATTTATCCTGCGGGACAGCCATCTCTTCCATGAGCGTGAGAACAAGTTTGGTAGAAATAAGCTCTGTATATCATTATAGCTTAATAAGCTCAGTATAATCGTTATAGCGTAATAAACTCAGTATAAATATCTATACCCAACACTCACAACCTAACCAACGCTCGCTTATTGCAAACACATCCGCCTGCTAACTTTGTAGATCCGCTGACTCCTCCAATCGCTCGTATGACCAAAAGGTTCGTTGAAGATGGCGATAGTACTTATGTACTATATCGCTTCAGAGATCGAGCTGTATATGAGAATGTTAAATAGTACTTGGCATATCTTCACGACGCGGCGGAGAATGCCCACCACGAGGGTAAAACTAGATTAGGTGTTAAGGTCTTTATTGAAAATGAGGGCCTTCCCTCTGACTATACTATGTTATATAACTTATTCAAAAAATTTTATGACACTTTAAATATATCTTTAAATATATCTTAATCAGTGCTAATTAAGATTTACAAAGATTTAGGAGCCATATGAGAAGCAAATGGATTGATTATTGGACAGAGGATGAGGGAAGCAAACAACAAGTTTTTTCTTCCGACGACTTTAGTCTAATCGTCTAAATAGTTCAAGTAACTTTCGTAACAACACTGACTTGGTCCAATTAACTGGTTTTGGAAATAGTATGACAAGGACTGTGAAACAACTTTCTTTGTACTATCAAAATGTTCGTGGACTAAGGACTAAAACTAACACCGTCATGTTTAACACTTCTCTTCTGACTGTGATATTTATGTTCTAACCGAAACTTGGTTGTCCCCCTCCATCAATAATCTTAAATTATTCAACTCTTCATTTTCTGCTTTTAGAAAGGACCGACATGCACTTCTTTTGCAGGGACACACACCAAATGGAGGTGGGGTATTAATCGCCGTTAAAAACTCGTTATCAGCTAGTATTATTGACATTCAAGACTCCGATGATCTTAAAATCAACGCAGTTAAAATTGAGCTGAATTCCAAAACGCTTTTCTTAGTCAATTGCTATATACTGCCTAACTCAAGTAATGAGTTATATGCAAAATTTTCTTCGGCTACTGATTATTTATACAAATATTTTAACCTGCAGTATGAGGTTTTTGTTTTCGGAGATTTCATTTTCCCCAAAATTAGGTGGATGACTAATGATGAGGAACCATTTTTGATATTAATTGACTGTTCTAGTGAGTTGGAGTTGTCTTTTACAAATATCTTTCATTTAAATAATTTGCAACAAATATCCTCAATAACAAACCATCAATCGAGGCAACTAGATCTAGTTTTTGCTTCCAATTGGTATAATTGTTTCCCTATAACTGTCACGGATCCTTTGGTTAACATTTATATCTATCATCCTCCGATATTTTCCTTTTATTGCATTGACGATCATCCATTTATTGACGTGCCCCTTTTCTATCGTTTTGATTTCAAAGGGGCGAATTTCGTATTGCTAAATGATTTCTTTTCTACTTACAACTTCTTATCAGTATTTACCTTTTCCGCCGAATCTTTTCAATTAAATGTTGACGACTTTCGGCACATTGATAACAATCCTAAAACTACCTTTACAAACTTTGCCACGAACTCTTTTGCCGTAACCGTAATTTTTAATAAGTCTTATTCTTCGGGCATTTTTCCTTCCGTGTGGAAGGAAGCTTTCATTAGGCCAATCCATAAAAAACACAATAAAAATGACGTGTCAAGCTAAACTATCAGTAATTCCTAAGGTGTTTGAGTTGATGGTATATAACAATATTTATTTCGATTGTATACCATTCATTAGTGCGCGTTAGCATGGCTTCTTGAAAAAGAAATCCACGGTGACTAACCTAGTGGAAGCCACGGTGTCTCAAATAATATGGAAAATGGGTATTAGACGGACGAAATATACACAGCTTTAGCAAAGCCTTTGACATACTACCACATGAAATTATTATTTTAAAATTGAAACTCTTAGGATTCCCGGACAACTTCTTAGCCTGGATAAAGTCATATCTCTCTGGTAGAACTTACAGAACCCTCTTTCGTTCAGCAGTTTCTTCGCGTCCTTTGTCTAATTCTGGGTAGTTACTTAGGTCCACTGTTCATAACTTGAACTAATGATGTTGTTTCCATGCTAACGCACAGTGAGGCATTAATATATGCTGACGACATGAAAATTTTCAAAAAATAAACCATGCAAATGATGTGATGTATCTTCAGAATGATCTTAACCGTTTCTACGGGTGGTGTTCAAGTAATAACCGAAAAATCAATGTAAGTAAATGTGCACAAATGTGCTACTTTAGGCAAAAACGGCAATTTTTTACATTCTAGACTTTGAATGGCTAAGCTCTTAGTCCAGTTGACTCAATAATGCACCTGGCTGTTTGCTTCGATAGCAAGTTATCATTCATATCATACAATTATGTAAAATGTTTGAGCTAATCATAAATAAATAAATAAATAAATAATAGTATCGTTATTTTTGTTGCTGTCCTAGTTGCCATTATTACTCCATCTTTAAGCAGCTACATTTAATGTAGCTGCTTAGTGCAATGTAGTAGTGTAGTAGTGGCATGTGAAATTTTCCGTCATTTTTTTATACATAAGTTTTACTAAATAAAGCGATTTAAAAATTCATACATAAAGTTTATTTTTCTACTTTGTAGTAGTTTAAAAAATTGCAAAAGATCTAATCATTTTATTTTTATTTTTTTTTTGTTTGTTCAAGTCGAGAAAAAACAAATAAAAATGCTTAAAAAATTTGTTCTTGAAATATCTAGAACTATCTTTCTTTGTTAAATGGCAATTACTCGAACCTGTCAAACAATTCATTAGAAACTTCAAGGCCGAGTTTTCTATTACTTTTTGAAATATTTAAAAAAAAGCTCTGTGATTTGTATGACAGCTGCATGAACCCGTTTTTCAAATTGGTCAAATTACAATAGCAGCTGTCGTTATCACAAAAGAAGTAACTTGTAAAAGTTTGGTGTAGATTGCATTTTCGTTTTTGAGTTATTGTGCGATTTAATGGACAGACATGTCTAAATCAATGTACGATTTTACACTTCACAAAAGTGCAGGGTATAAAAAATTTGTCATACATATATGTATACATTAATATATCACTAAATTTAAAAGTTAAGTAAACTATTAAGATTCACTTTTAATTTATAAAACCTTTTAAAATTATTTTTTTCTTTTTTAATTGAAGTTACTAAGTTCCTTTTGCTGTCTATTTAGAAAACTTGATGAATATGATACAAATGACAAAGTAAACATGTGCACGTATTTGTGTGTATTTTAAGCAGCTTAAATACAACCAAATGGAGCAAAGAAATTATTCTACAAATAATTATGTGCTACAACAAAGTATAATAGTTTGACATCATTGTTTTTAACTTGCGCAGTAGAATTTTTTACTTTATGCATTTCTAATCTGCTTGAAGTAAAATAGTATTATTATTCGTAGTCGTACTGTTGCAAAGGGAGTGTTTACTAGATAAGTGTTTGATAAGGATTTGATTGTAAAAGAAAAATTTTGTTCTTTAGAGGAACTGATAAAAAATACCTTTTTGATATAACTGTTCCCCAAATATTGGAAAAATGGAAGGCTTAATTCCAATTGTAAATAAGTTGCAAGATGCCTTTACTCAAATGGGGGTACATATGCAAATTGATTTACCACAAATTGCAGTGGTAGGAGGCCAATCCGCAGGAAAAAGTTCAGTTTTAGAAAATTTTGTTGGGAAGTAAGTGTTTTTTTTCCTTTATATATTAAAAAAAATTAAACAATTGTGAAAATTTAAAAGAAAATTTACGTATGTATGGATATGTACAGACACCACCTATTAGGAAAAATCAATGAATAGCATGTTCAATTTACATTACAAAACTTCAAATTACTTGTAACAGTGTTTGTGCTCGTATGTAAAAGTATACACATCTTAAAGGTCAAATTCGAAAAAAAAGCAAGTAGAACAATTTTAACAATTAAAATTCTGAAGATTTTGAAACAAAAATGCCATACACAAAAGCTGCAATTTAATTTTGAAAACAAATAAAATTATGTCACTACAAGAAAACTTATTTTGTCACACATTATGTTCTACCCATAATATATTACTTGGCCATAAACTTATAAGCAGTTTACAGTTCTCAACTTAAATCTTTCTTTACCACATTCAACCTAAAAAATTTAAACGCTTAAAAGAAAATGTATTAATCATATACATATGTATAAATATGACATATCAAATCAAAAAATGTACATACGTATGTATGTGTACAAAATTTTTAATGTTTTAAAAAGAAAATTAATTTCAGCTCTTTGCTCACTTAAACATTTTTATTTAGGGATTTTTTGCCGAGAGGTTCCGGCATTGTAACACGCAGACCCTTGATATTGCAACTAATTAACGGAACAACAGGTAAATAACTTTCTATCAATGTTTTGTTTTTAGATGTTTATATAGTTCTCATTTATTAGAATACGGAGAATTTCTCCATTGCAAAGGCAAAAAATTTGTAAATTTTGATGAAATTCGAAAAGAAATAGAAGATGAGACGGACCGTATAACTGGGAGTAATAAAGGAATTTCTAATATACCGATTAATCTAAGAGTATATTCACCAAATGTTTTAAATTTGACTTTGATTGATTTACCTGGACTAACGAAGGTTCCAATAGGAGATCAACCGCCTGATATTGAGCAACAGATCAAAGCCATGATATTTCAATTTATTCGTAAGGAAACTTGTCTTATTTTGGCCGTGACACCAGCAAATACGGACTTGGCTAATTCCGATGCACTTAAATTGGCTAAAGAAGTTGATCCTCAGGGTGTGCGTACGATTGGTGTTATTACTAAACTAGACCTTATGGATGAAGGAACTGATGCAAGAGATATATTAGAAAATAAGTTGTTACCCTTAAGAAGAGGTTATATAGGTGTAGTTAATCGTTCCCAAAAAGACATTGAAGGAAGAAAAGATATTCACGCAGCATTGGCCGCAGAACGCAAATTTTTTTTAAGTCATCCTTCATACAGACATATTGCTGACAGATTGGGTACCCCATATTTACAAAGAGTTTTAAATCAACAGCTGACGAATCATATACGAGATACATTGCCAGCTTTGCGGGATAAGTTACAAAAACAACTCTTGGCATTAGAAAAAGATGTTCAACAATTCAAACACTTCAGGCCCGATGATCCCAGCATAAAGACAAAAGCAATGCTACAGTAAATAGTTTTAAAACATACTGGAAAATCATTATTTCTTTTTTATTTTAAGAATGATACAACAATTGCAATCCGATTTTGAGCGTACCATTGAGGGTTCCGGATCTGCTCTTGTAAATACAAATGAACTATCAGGAGGCGCCAAAATAAACCGCATTTTCCACGAAAGGTATTTTCTTTAGTTGTTGCCTTTTCGATTTCAAATTACATCATCGGATTTCAGATTACGTTTTGAAATAGTAAAAATGTCGTGCGATGAAAAAGAACTTCGTCGAGAAATTTCATTTGCTATTCGTAACATACATGGAATTCGTGTTGGTTTGTTTACTCCTGATATGGCTTTCGAGGCCATAGTTAAGAAGCAAATATCCATGCTCAAAGAACCAGTATTAAAATGTGTTGATCTAGTCGTGGTTGAATTATCACACGTTGTTCGTCTTTGTACAGATAAGGTAAGATTTAGGTGTACATGTAAAATTTTCTATTGCATTTTTTAACTAAACCAATGTTCTATGTGTTGTATGTGTCTCTTAACTTAACCTTTTTTTATTAGGAGTGTGCCGTTTTCAAAACTTGAATGTTTTAAATTAAAAATTATTTTTTTTGCCTGTTTGTTATGCGGAATTCTCCATTCCGAACAATGCTATGTTAGGTGTGAAAATAATCTACATACGCTGAATTTATTTTTGTTAAAAGCAATATACATATGTACATAGGTATACAGTTCAATCATGTTTCGTTTGTGCTAAAAAAACTAAATATTCGTTTACACCTTGACATTACAAAAAATCAAGGCCTGGACCTGGACTTGGACCATGCTTTTTTTTTGAATGGATTGGTTAAACTTGCATAATGTATTTTTGGCGAAATGACATTTGTGAAGAATAATTGTTTTTGTTGATTTTTTGGAAAAATTATGAAATGTCGAATTGTTTGAATAACTTATCAAAAAATCAAATTTTAACTCAAAATTTTAACAATAATTTTGATTAAATATATTAATTTTTGTACCGCCATATCGGGCAACATAACTGAGAGAATGAGATTAAAAAATGATAATATACTGATAAAAAAAAAATTATGTTATATATTTTAGCCTAGAATACTGGTAAATTCTTAAACGTCAAATTTTACAAAATCTGAGTTGTCTGAGTTTACGGATACTCTACTACGTTTTTACTCTCAGTCAAAGTTTAAATTCTTAAACGTTTAAAAAAAGTCAATTAATCGTCAAAATTGTAGATTTTTTTTTTTTACATGCAGACAGTCTGACGTAGTAATTCAGTAAATAAATTTGATGTGTTGAGTGACTATCATTACGTTAAAAATAATATAAAAAATATTTTTATTGTTAATTTTTAATATGTAAGTATAAATTTATTTTAAATCTAAAAAAAAATTTTTTTTTGTTTTGACGTTTACGGATGATCAAAATTCAAAGTCAATTACGGGTAAAAAGTTTACTAGATTTCTGTCCGTAAAAGTTTTAGTTTCAGACAGTTTGCAGACTAAAATCAAAATTTTGACGTTAAAGAATTTGCGGTACGTCTTAAAATAAAGTAATTAAAAATTTCATTAGATTTTAATTTAGAATTTAAGTTTGTAATTATGTGATTTTAAGTTTTATCTTTTAAATGCTTTTGAAATTTTAAAATCATTATAAAAACTGCGTCGTTTCAAGTTGTCCCCCGTATAAAACAAACAATAAAAATATTATGAAGAAACGTGTATAAGTTTTAAAGTTCCTGATACGTAGTTTAGGTAAATCAGTGAATTAGATAACTAAAAAACATAACTAAAAAGAATTATACATATGTACTTTTTAATATAAAAAGAATACACATACGCAATAAGTTTTATGAATTATGAAACATTAATTAATGTAGTATACACGTGAAAAATATATAGATATGTGATTATACAAGAAGTATGCATTGTGGGAGAGACTTCATAAGAAATTGGCAAACTTATTAATATCAAATGCAAATTTTCTCAAGTTTGTAAAATGCACAAAAAACAACTTAATTTTTCGAAAAAAAATGTACTAGTTTGTTTTCTTGCAGTGTAGTATTTATTGCAATCTTAAAAAAACGAACAGAACATGACAGGTTTTTTTAAATGAATTTTTTAAAGTTTAAATAACCCAGAACTTCAAGAATATAACACTAGAAAAGTAGAAAAAGATTGAATTTTAACTTTTTCTAATTAAAAATTCAAAAGAAATTGATCTTGTGAAAGATTTATGATGTTAAAAAAGGCCTTCTATAGACTCCATAAGAATACATGTAAATTCGTCAGCTGTAAACTGTCACTCTCTCTTAGGTTCCAGACCTGTATTTCTGTCAGCCATGTTCAAAATAGATTATTTGGAGATTTAAAGTTGGACATAACATATTTTTTCGTGAAACGTAGTATTATTTGACCGATTTGATATATTGGTAATGCTTTTGAGAGTATGTAATTAATCGCAAATCAGTTAAATGACTTGTGAATAAATTTCAAACTTTTATGCTATTTCTAGTTTTAAAGCAGTTAAAATAATTAATTAATAAGCAGTTAAAATGAAAGTATGATTTTATGTTTACAGAAAAATGACTGGAAATAATTGAACGAATTGTGCAACAATTAAAATAAACTCAAAATTTTTTATGAAATTGAAAACCGAATAAATCGTAAATTAATGTTTAATTTTTTGAATAAAAAAAGAAAGCTCAGATTAACTCACGAAAAAACAATTGGAATTTTATCCAGCAGTTTAAATAACGCTGCTTTAGCAATGAATTTGCAAATGAATTTTCTTTATTGTAACGTTTCAATAAGTTTAGAATCTTAAAGTTATTGAAGTCTTATAAGTTTAGAACAAAGCAAAAAGCGCGATTGGTATAAGAAAGCGCGTTTAATATTTTTGAATTTCTTCTTCAATTATTGTCAAAATCAATTTTGTTCTATATACGTTCTATTTACGTTCAATTAGTTTCGTATCCTTGATAAGAAACTAATTGTATAGTTAGTTGCGATAAGAAATGTAAAATCGGCTTCTTGTTCGGTTTTCGAGGAATTTTTAGTTGTTTACGAAACACCAATAATTTACATAAAAGTACATAAAATGCGAAATAAAGTATTTTATCTTCAAATTTTAGTTTGAAACCTTTTATTAAACATTTTGCTTGAAACTTTTATCAGCAATTCTGTAAAGTATTCATTACTGAATGACGCCGTAAGCAACACGTTAGACCTAACAAAACTAACAAAATTATAATATTTTTCACGTAACGTAGTATTTTAGAAATTTGTAAATTATGTAAGTTAAACTAGTTTACAACAGAAACTTACTTATTTATAAAACAACTACATTTAACCAAATAAACTTATATCGACATTTCAAATAGTTTACTTGTACTTAACTTAAATAAAAGATTTCAACATTCAAAAAATTTTTCAATGGTTGATAATTTTTCCGAAATATAATTTTTTTTTATTGTAGAAGAAAATCAGCTTTGATAAAGTGCGTATGTAGCGCACGAAATATATTAGCAAAAAATAAAAAAAGTATTTTATTCCGAATAAAAGGAAGTTTTCTTTTCATACCAATAAAAGAAAAGGATTTCAACATTCTTTATTCTTAAGCAGAAGTTACAATTTTTTACATTCTTTTATATAGTACTAGTTTTTCTTTTATATAATACATGTATTATATACAATAAATAAATTCACCTCAATTTGATTCAAGCTAAATAAAATTGAGGTGAAGGACATGTCTGATCAAAACCATAGCATCAAAAATCATTACTTGCAACTTTAGTTGCCATTTTTTGCATATAATTGCAACAAAACCCCACATTCTTATTCAAAATTTCTTGTCCATATTAAATATTTCTTTACAAAAAGACCTAAGATAATTTTTTACGAGTATAAATAATATGATTTGAAATATGAATGGTGAATTACTCAAAGTGTTTTTCTATTTTACTCAAACTAATCAATCTGCAAATATATGGGGCTTATCTCCACTATCTTCGTATCATCGTTTTTAGGGCGTCAAGAATGAGTAAACTTTGTTTGGAACAATGTATCAAATTTTAACGGTTTCCGAAATACAGAGACTTTAAATTTTTTCGGAATTTCTGCTTGTCCAAGAATAATGCCATTTTTTAACTACTAATTTTAAGGAAATTATAAACATTTTTCAAATTCTGTCAACGCAGAAAGTAGTGTACGTTATCTTAAGCCCGTTTTTTCCAATTATTGGTATTTTTCTTCCAAACGGCACGTTTTAGGAGTGTAAAATTAAGAATATTAGATACTGGAAAATAGTGTATTTCATAAGATCAAAATTCTTTTGCACCTCCAATCTTTGTCAAGTTATCGCCTCTTTAAATTTGGAAAATTTGAATTTTCGGCATCTTATATTTTTGAAACTGCAAATTTCTATAAATGCAGAAAGCTTATGATAAATGCCATGTCATCAAAAAATATAATTACTATTCTTAAATCAGGTAATTAACCCTTAAATTCGAGTATTATATTAACACTTTTTCATTACCGACCGTATTGTGTATACAATAGGTAGGTTATGTGATAGCAACAAATTTTGCATATCGAGTTTTTGGTGGAAATGCACTTCTCCATAGTAGGGAAGTGTAAATAAACTATTTTTAGCAACCTGTCGGTCCGTCGGTCTGTCGGTCTGTGTGTGCATGCGTGTATCTCAAGTTCTGCTGAACCGATTTTGATAAAATTTTATATGTAACTTTATTTCCACCATGGCACGGATTGATCAACTATAGGGATATATCAGGTCTCGGGAACTGCACTTTTTAGCGGGCCTGTTTTAGGTATGTTAACTAAACTTACTAATGTCCTAAAAATTGGAAAGAAGTATTTTACAGACGTTTTTATAATACTCTGTAACATTTTCACTTAACTAGACAATACACATTGCGGTCGATTGCTTACATTGCTCATCGCAAAATGTATGCAATTTTGGAAATATATTCGTATATGAAGGAAAGTAATTTTAATAATATGGTACATAGCCAAATTGTTTTAAAAAGCAGTATTTTCATTTGTTGAAGGGAAAAGTGCTACGTTACAAACCATTGGTTTGATTCAACTTTATTAGTTATAAAATATAAAATTTCTGCTTTTCTTACTCATAAGAATATGGAATTATATTTTTTTTTTTTGATAACCGTATGCATTTACCTTCATCACTAATTTACTTTTAAAATAACTTTTTCAGGTACTTAAAGATATAAATTAAAAAATCAAAGCAAAATCTGGTATTTGTACGAATTCTTCGCTTAATGTTTTTTTTAGAAAAACTTATTTTGGTATCATTAATTTATGCTATAAAATTATTTTCAGGGAAAAAATAAGAGCTAAAGAAATACAATTTTACTAAAATATAATATGTACTTAAAGCTTATTAGTCATTCTTTAAATAATTTACTCTTGTTTTATTTTTTGTATAAGATGTCGCGATATCCACGTTTGCGAGAGGAAACTGAGCGTATTATTACAACTCATATAAGGCAACGGGAGCAGTATTGTAAAGAACAACTTCTTTTGCTTATTGATATGGAATTAGCGTACATGAATACAAATCATGAAGACTTCATCGGTTTCGCAAAGTAAGTTTTAAAAATTATCTTTTAATGTAAATAAGAAATTTTTCATTAATTTTTTTTATTATTCTTATTGTTTTTGTTATTGTTCTTATGAAAGAAACTTACTATGACATCCCACCCTTCTCATAAGTCCGAATTTTTTAGCATTCCCTCGAGGATTCGGTCGCCGCTGCCTAGTATTCCGCAAAATCGGAAAATATACTCAGCAATTTATCTGTATCAATTTAAAAACTTTAAAAATAATCTGTAATTAATTCGCATTTATGCAAATGATAGCCCAGACTGCAATTCCAGGTAAAGAGACTGGTCGGCCACTGGTGACTCATTTGTTTGTTAATAATATTTTAAACTTTTTTTGTTATATCAAAATCATTTGATTTCAGTCAAGTTTTTTAATAAAAAATTGGTAAAAATTCAAAGTGGTGAAAATTAAAAATAAAAAAGAAATTACGCCCAAACCATGTCGATTTCTATAGAAATGCATAAATAACTATAAAAGAAAATATAGTATTTTTTTGTAATTTTCGTTTCGGTAATAAGTTTCGGTTTTATTGAAAATGTCTCGAAATATTTTTATTAATTTTATGTAAAATTTTTTCTCACATTTCTGGTTATGTTGAATTATGATTACGATTTTGTGAATACATTTCCGATGTCAGTGTTCGTATTGTTCTGTTTGATATGTTAGTTATTATTTATCACATTTATGTACATATTACACATAGAAAGTTTTTTTAATATTCATATTAAGTGTTGCGTATATTATGATGCACAAACGATTGATATAAAATTAAATATCCGAAAAAGCTTTACAGTTTCTTAATTTTACTTGTAATTAACTTAATTTTATCTGCATTTTTAACACTTTTTTCATCATTAGTGAAAAAAACAGAAAAATTATGCAAAAAAAAGTTAAGAAATAGAAAATATTCTAAAGGAAAAGTAGAATATTTAAATAATAAACAAACATGATTACGGCAGTTTCCAAGTATATATTTCGAATGCATGCAACTGATAGTAATGAAATTTAATGCGACAAATTCCAATATACCAAATAATTACTATACCTATACATATATTATATAAGTGATTTTGAACTTGACAATGATTTCAATGATTTATTTTATAAGTGATTTTGAACTTGACAACTTTGATTAACATAATAATCAAATCTTTGCAAAACGCCCTATTTTCCATCTATTCGTTGACCATTAGAATTTGAATTTTTAGTAAGCTGTGAACAGTTTAATAAAAGTAGAAGACAATTTTAAAGGTAATATATTTTGAATTCAGTAACTTCTACCCGAATAGAAGCTACTGAATGCGAAGTATATTACCAGAGCATATTATAAGCATATTACCATAATAAAACAAATTTTTCAAATTTGCAATATTATGTAAGTTCGTATGCATTGCCAATTTAATTTTGCAAAAAGTTTAAAAAAAATTGTTTTTCCAATGTTTTCTTAAAAATTTTTATTCTTCAGTTTGCAGCAAATTTATCTTCGAAACATGTACTTGGAAACAAACCTTACATTTTCCTTTTTACATTATAAAAATTTGTAATAAATCAGTTTCATGAAAACTATAGTAATTTCGTATAAAATAAGGGAAGACTTTTATAAAAATAAAATTTTCATACACATTTTTATATGGTACGACTCAATCAGAATTACATTGTTGGTTGGTTGATTGATGTGGTCGATGCACAAGATCCATCGCATCTTAATTAGCACAGATGTGCCGTTTTGTTATAACTAACCCGTGATCACCCGGTCGCCTTTGAGAGTAAAACTACAGAAGGCCTATCAGTCACTATTGTGACATTACTAGCCCCAACAGCGGACCCCCAAGGTCTCGCATGCTTTCAACATGTCGAAAATTTTCGCCTGAAAGATATTCGACACGCTAAGAAGCCGATACGATTCAAACAATGATACATTCTCCACTCCGCAGAAAAACAACACCCACCACATTCCATCCTTGGTGCTGTTGGTGAATAAAGCTTTCTCAACATCTCTCAAAGGAGACAGCCACCTCCACTTTCAACGAGCCAGAGTTCTTGTCAAAGCTGAATCTTGGGATACAATTGTCCAATAACCCGAAGCTATGAGGCAAGGTTGTCTACGCACGCAACCGTCCCTCTACTGGTGAGCGTGGCCAGTGGTCACTCAGTTGCCAGCCAGTTCCGAAAAAGGATACTAAGCTGTAGCATCCATTTTATCTAGCGAACCCGGCATTTCCACACTTAAATTGACTAGAGATCCCTGAATGGAGCGCCAACCAACGTTACTAAAGGCTTCCTCCTCAACTAGGAACTTTGTATTGAATGAAATGTCCCTCCGTCCGAACGTCCTCATGTAAGGTAATGTCGATGGACCTGCCCCTCCGGTAGTGTAATGTAATAAATAATAATAACAATAATAATAATAATAAAAAATAATAATAAAAATAATTAATAATAAATAATAATAATAATAATAAAAAAATAATAATAATAAATAATAATAATAATAATAATAATAATAAATAATAAATAATAAATAATAAATAATAAATAATAAATAATAAATAATAAATAATAAATAATAAATAATAAATAATAAATAATAAATAATAAATAATAAATAATAAATAATAAATAATAAATAATAAATAATAAATAATAAATTAATAAATAATAAATAATAAATAATAAATAATAAATAATAAATAATAAATAATAAATAATAAATAATAAATAAATAATAAATAATAAATAATAAATAATAAATAATAAATAATAAATAATAAATAATAAATAATAAATAATAAATAATAAATAATAAATAATAAATAATAAATAATAAATAATAAATAATAAATAATAAATAATAAATAATAAATAACAAATAATAAATAATAAATAATAAATAATAAATAATAAATAATAAATAATAAATAATAAATAATAAAAAATAAATAATAAATAATAAATAATAAATAATATATAATATATAATAAATAATAAATAATAAATAATAATAAATAATAAATAATAAATAATAAATAATAAATAATAAATAATAAATAATAAATAATAAATAATAAATAATAAATAATAAATAATAAATAATAAATAATAAATAATAAATAATAAATAATAAATAATAAATAATAAATAATAAATAATAAATAATAAATAATAAATAATAAATAATAAATAATAAATAATAAAATAATAAATAATAAATAATAAATAATAAATAATAAATAATAAATAATAAATAATAAATAATAAATAATAAATAATAAATAATAAATAATAAATAATAAATAATAAAATAATAAATAATAAATAAATAAATAATAAATAATAAATAATAAATAATAAATAATAAATAATAAATAATAAATAATAAATAATAAATAATAAATAATAAATAATAAATAATAAAATAATAAATAATAAATAATAAATAATAAATAATAAATAATAAATAATAAATAATAAATAATAAATAATAAATAATAAATAATAAATAATAAATAATAAATAATAAATAATAAATAATAAATAATAAATAATAAATAATAAATAATAATAATAAATAATAAATAATAAATAATAAATAATAAATAATAAATAATAAATAATAAATAATAAATAATAAATAATAAATAATAAATAATAAATAATAAATAATAAATAATAAATAATAAATAATAAATAATAAATAATAAATAATAAATAATAAATAATAAATAATAAATAATAAATAATAAAATAAATAAATAATAAATAATAAATAATAAATAATAAATAATAAATAATAAATAATAAATAATAAATAATAAATAATAAATAATAAATAATAAATAATAAATAAATAAATAATAAATAATAAATAATAAATAATAAATAATAAATAATAAATAATAAATAATAAATAATAAATAATAAATAATAAATAATAAATAATAAATAATAAATAATAAATAATAAATAATAAATAATAAATAATAAATAATAAATAATAAATAATAATAATAAATAATAAATAATAAATAATAAATAATAAATAATAAATAATAAATAATAAATAATAAATAATAAATAATAAATAATAAATAATAAATAATAAATAATAAATAATAAATAATAAATAATAAATAATAAATAATAAATAATAAATAATAAATAATAAATAATAAATAATAAATAATAAATAATAAATAATAAATAATAAATAATAAATAATAAATAATAAATAATAAATAATAAATAATAAAATAATAATAATAAATAATAAATAATAAATAATAAATAATAAATAATAAATAATAAATAATAAATAATAAATAATAAATAATAAATAATAAATAATAAATAATAAATAATAAATAATAAATAATAAATAAATAATAAATAATAAATAATAAATAATAAATAATAAATAATAAATAATAAATAATAAATAATAAATAATAAAATAATAAATAATTAATAATGAATAATGAATAATAAATAATAAATAATAAAAAAATAATAATAAATAAATAATAAATAATAAATAATAAATAATAAATAATAAATAATAACTAATAAATAATGAATAATAAATAATAAATAATAAATAATAAATAATAAATAAATAATAAATAATAACTAATAAATAATGAATAATAAATAATAAATAATAAATAATAACTAATAAATAATAAATAATAAATAATAAATAATAAATAATATATAATAAATAATAAATAATAAATAATAAATAGTAAATAATAAATAATAAATAATAAATAATAATAATAAATAATAAATAATAAATAATAAATAATAAATAATAATAATAAATAATAATAAATAATAAATAATAAATAATAAATAATAAATAATAAATAATATATAATAAATAATAATAAATAATAAATAATAAATAATAAATAATAAATAATAAATAATAAATAATAAATAATAAATAATAAATAATAAATAATAAATAATAAATAATAAATAATAAATAATAAATAATAAATAATAAATAATAAATAATAAATAATAAATAATAAATAATAAATAATAATAATAAATAATAAATAATAAATAATAAATAATAAATAATAAATAATAAATAATAAATAATAAATAATAAATAATAAATAATAAATAATAAATAACAAATAATAAATAATAAATAATAAATAATAAATAATAAATAATAAATAATAAATAATAAATAATAAATAATAAATAATAAATAATAAATAATAAATAATAAATAATAAATAATAAATAAATAAATAATAAATAACAAATAATAAATAATAAATAATAAATAATAAATAATAAATAATAATAATAAATAATAAATAATAAATAATAAATAATGAATAATGAATAATAAATAATAAATAATAAATAAATAATAAATAATAAATAATAAATAATAAATAATAAATAATAAATAATAAATAATAAATAAT